GAAGAATTTCTTCGACAACGCACCATGGCAATTCGGGTTTCTGGTTCACTTTCTGATCCCATCAGTGTATCACGAGGAGTTACACAGGGATCCGTGATGGGCCCTCAACTTTGCCTTGTTTTCATAAACGACCTAACGGACATTCTCGGTCCACATACATTAATGTTTGTAGACGATGCAAAAATATGGAAAACGGTGGCAAAACCAGAGGACTCGCTAGAACTCAAAAGAACACTTAATGCTGCCTATCAATATTTGATCGAAAATGACGTGGAATTTAATCCATCAAAATGTACGATCGTATCCCTTCGACACAAAACTCGATTTCTGTATNTGTATGTATTAGGAGATCAACAACTTCCGTAGGTCTCGAATGAGAAGGATCTCGGCGCCATTGTTCAAGACGACCTAAGCTGTTCTTTAAACTGCTCCCTGGCACCGTCTACCGCTGTAAGATATGCTGGTTTGCTAAAACGAGTATTTGGCAAATTTGAACCTACGCTGTTCCCACGATTGTTATCAGCCTACATTCGACCCCACACAGAGTACGCCATTCAAGCATGGAATCCATGGCTGCAACGCAGTCAAAAGATTCTGGAACGTCCACGAAGAATGGCTACTAAAATGGTCAAAGGACTGGATTTCAAGAGTTATGCGGAAAGACTGGAGTCACTGCAACTGTACTCCACACAGTATAGCCGCATTCGAGGAGACTTAATTGTGCCACACCAAATAATGCAGAACCCAGAACATCCATGTCGTCCATTTTTTCCTTGTCACCCAACACTCACCTACGGGGCACTCATTCAAATTAGCGCTCCAAAAATGCCGACTAGAGTGCCGGCGTCATTCATTCGCCCTCAGGGTATGCATTACTTGGAATTCTATACCACCATACGTTGTCACTGCGCCCACAATTGATTCATTGAAGCACAAACTGGTTGGAGCTTTGAAAAGTCTTTAATTTCAACATCCGTAGAAGCGCACGAAAAAAGGATAAACTGTGACATTCATCTACTTTGTATGTACTGTGAACTGATTCATCTGTGCCAAATCCTATGGGACTAAAGAATCAACCGCTTATGTGTATTTCCCATAATAAAACTTTGACTTTGAGTGTATCCAAGCGTTTAAATAAACGAGTCTATAATAACCAAAATGCTCTCATCCTATCATATAAGACGGAGTAAAAGTGATTTCGTTCATTGATACGACACAGTAAAAAAGTAAATTTAACTGCTGATTTCGGTAGTTAGTTTGCTGAGCCGAACTAAGCAGTGATTCCTTGCTGCAATACAAACAGTGTCAGGGTCATTTGCTAATAAAAGTCAATGAAGGAATTATGTATGTTCGCAGATTTGAAGTTATTAGGTCGATTGTGAAAAGTTCAGTAGCCTCAGTGGAATTCGAACCCACGCATGAACGCCGCCTACGCTTTGAACGCACATGCTCTACCAGCTGAGCTACGAGGGCACACTGAGGCTACCGAAACTACTAAACCTTTCACAAGCGACATACAAATTATGTATGTCCCGAGAACTACTTTAAATTCACTATCAGCTCGCTTAAAAATCGCCCGGATGCTTTTAGTGGTCATTCTCAAAAAAAAAACAGTCAACATTCAACCCGTCGTTGACGGATCCGGGAAGAACAATCCATCAGTGATCAAGCAGTATAGGCCGCGATCACAGCTCCCGGGGGTTGTGATAAAAGCTTAGCACTGTTGCATAAGAATCACTTTATCTCTGTATTCTGCGATAACTCCTTTTGCGACCTTCGCTATCTTGGAGTTGGTTGTGCAGCCAGCCATGCATTCAAAAAGCAGATGAAGTAAACGCATTGCTCAAGTAGAGAAAAAGTCATGATATCGTTATCCAAGAATAACAGACAAGGTTCCTCTAGGGAACAGATGGTATTTTCATCTTAGATTAGTTACAAGATGCTTCATATTGGACGCTGAAAACAGAGCGTTTCAGTAAGGAACCTGAATGGAAAAGCAAAATTCCAGACCTGTGCCGTATATGCTGGATCATTTCACCACATGCGTACATCTACATAGTAGAACAAGTGACCATTATACTAGGATCCAAAATAAAATACTCTTAGGTCAATAGTGTTACTTGTGAAACGCTTTTGTGAAAATTTTACACCTAAAGTGATCTGCCTATCACACTGTCTACATGAATTCACAAGCGCGCTGACGTATCAACTTTGTAAGCAACTTGAATGGCTTATCACTCTGGAATCACCTTGACTACAAACGTTTTTATCCAAGATGCTACACTTCTGACTCCGTAATTGCAGTTTGCAGCCAAATGCTTCAGGGTGCATTACGCAAGCCTGATTTTGATTGCTCTTGTTACGTTTTATGTATATGTCACTACCCGTAATTACTTGCAATGTTCTCAAACCGATTAGTTACCTTGTCAGTGTACAGTAGACGGAACATTCATGATCGCTGTTCTTTACAAAGAAAACGGAAACCCTGAGTGTTAGACTACAATGGAATTAATATCCAGCTTTTTTGAAAAGTGTAGTTGCAGTAGCTTCCTTCGGACTTTAAACCCGTATAAATAGGCGCCACTCAGCAGCACTACAGATAACGAACCCCAAGTTTAGTGCTTTTCAGGTGAAAACTTGGGTGTCGATATTGAGGGTTCGGTGACGATTAAGCAAATTAATCTAAGCCTTCGAGATGCAAATTAAAACAGTAGAAAACCAAGAAAATGGATTCAACGAATCTGTAACATCAGCTTAGTGCTTTTTCCGTTCCACGTTTTCGTTTTAGTAGACAAAGCTAACTTCATCACTCTTTATAAACTTCTTCCAGAAGTGGTTTTAGATCGGTTTCATAACTTAAGCGTTTGAACAAAAACGTTATCATTTGGTTTCAGTTTGCTTGCCATTAGCAAGCAGTGTGAGATCAATCTCAGGAAAAAGGAATGAAATTTGTAAAACTGTGTTTGCTTACTGCACGCGACGGTTCTGACAACACTGCCCATTTTGGATGCAAAAATTGTCATAGCTGAAATGATGGGTCGGAAAGCAGAACCGGTAAATTAAGCAGCTCAAACATTGATGGAACTCAAGTTTGAAACATGAAACTTGGCTTACCGTTCAATATTGGTTTGATTAACCCTGCAATAAAGTACAAAAGGAAAGTGTGTGTATGTAGTAGGAACAGGCGTACGATTGGTTTTATGTACGAGTAACTTTCAGTTAAACTTACACACACAAATTTGTGTCAATTCCGTTCAGTCCCATGACCGAGCTCATTGTATATACTGCCCAGCTGCCGGTAATGAAAGTGGACTTGTAAACTGATTTTGACTGGGTCGAGCACTCCGAATGTGCAAATATATATATGTATATTGTGAAGAAGGTAGAATCCCGAAAACGAGCTTGCAATGCGATACTTTGTGCTATACATGAGCAGTTACGATAAAATCATGGTGTATAACTAACAGTTTACCCAGTTTCAGACCCGATTCAACGTGATTAGAATAACAGAAACATGCGCGTAATTTCCGTTTATTTAAAAGACCAAAATTTCCTCTCTCTAAACTCGGATAGATGGGTTATTGGATAGACCAACGAACACAGTAAGTAAAATTATCAGTAAGTAAAAACTCATCAACACACGCACACGTGTGCTCAAATCACATCGCAGTTCTATACGATGTCGTCATCCCATCACCTTTTAATTGTTTGTAACCGAATAAATGACTTGAGAAAGGCCTTCCAAGAGAATCGAAACGTTGTCACCAATGTCTTATGTTTTGGTTTTTCCGTTTATCGTGGCTAAGACAAGCTAATTTCTTCAATACTCTTGATCAGGACACCAAAGATCCGTTCCATTCATAGATCTCCTGTGAGTAAATAAAATCGTTTTCTGCTCTGTGTGACCCTGCTTGATCTAAAAAAAACGATTCCGAATGCACGAAGTTTAAATATGGCTGTACACGTGAATGTTTAATCCCTTAAAACGATGCTATATGTGGTAAACAATCGTGCATAGCGAACGAAAATTGTTGATTAGTCAAACCAATGTTCATATACGCAACAAACAAAAACTGATATACAGGTAAAATGCTTCAGAGAACTAACCGAAATGTCCGGCAGGCATGCATTTTTCATTGCAAGCCGGAACTTCCACAATAGTCTTCAGTGCTGTACAAAAGGAAAAATGGAAAATAATATTTATGTGAGAAGGCAGTTCACATTGATCTAGTTATATACAGACAATCATTCTTGCAACTATAGCGCATAGAATTAACCGGAGGAAACGCATATTTACAGAAACATATTTCGTTTTCAGTTTCCTTCTACAGTATCCTTCTCTAGGTCTTGTGGACATTGCCTTCATGGACAGTCTCAGGTTTGGAGCCCCCCCACGAATGCACGAAGACTCTATTTGTTATCGGTTTTCATTAAACGGTAGAAGACAAACATTTGCGGTCATTTCAATTTCATGCTGATAGAGTGATATATAAAGATGAAAGCTCAAATCATGACGCAGTCTACTCGAGTCGGATGGCATGTGGTTGATCGGCCTCCTTATCGAATTCATCTGTTTATTGTTGTTTTTCATTTGTTGATTCTTTATCTCGTGTTGTCGTCAGGGGCTCCAGTCTCGTAACTTGTACTCTTCACAAACAGAGAGCAACGTAGTTCTGAGGTTGATGGTGTGTTTGAAGCGTTTTATGTTACGAATGGATTAGTATCGTTACATTCTCTTTCCGATACATACGGAAAGACAAGTTTTAAAACAGATACCCTGAAAATACGCATTAAGTCCCTTTAGCATCTAGATGAAATAAATGGGGTTCATTTGTGATATTCTGTGTTCTCCTGATAGTGGACAGCCCATTACAACAGAAATAAATGTCTCTGATAGGTAGCAGCTGTAAATGCCTACTACAGCTAGTTTCGCTGGTAAATGAGAGCAGTGCTCATTCTCAATTTTTCCCTGGAATAAATCACAAAGCGATTAACTTGGTTCTCACTTAAAAATAAAAATGCAATTTTATTGCTTAAACGTCAGTTAGATACGAACCTCGCACATAATCGACATACACCTGCAGGTTCGTAGAATCCTCTAAAAAGTAGTGAGGGAAAACCATTGAATTCAACCGCATTGCGTAGGTCCAAGATAAATATCCACGTCATGTTCTATTCGGGAATGTAAAAAAACATACTGCTCTTTGAGGACTTCACATGAATTGTATTAAAATCTTAAATGCGTTCACGAAGGGTTCCACATCCTATGCTTGAAAATTGTATAAGCCAAGCTTCGTTTTTATTGGATTGTAGGCTTTCATTGATACCATGTACTTTTTCCATACAGAAACTAGATAACTGTGAACCGGATAAAACAAGACCAGTTTTCGTCTCATTTTTGTAAGCAAACAAAATTAATGGAGAACAACTTCATTAAAAAATATGCATTCTATACATTTTTTTATTTTTTTTCAGTGAAAATATATCTTCTGACTGGCAGCAACTGGCTTTAGACGTTCTATTAGGTACGGCTGGGTATACAAACCCGGTCCATTTGCAGTCTGCAGTCAGCACAAGTGTAAATTGCATGCGGTAAAATCCCGGTTTAGTAATGTGCCAGTATTTGATCGATTTTAAATTATTTCCTTGGTCTGAAAAAATAAACACCAGGCTGCGATCTGGTTCTTTTTATGATCTATTTATCGGACCCACGGCTTATCTAACAACAGCGGGAACCGATATCTTTTTGACTATCTTGAGTCTATAGCATAGTCCATAGACTACTTGGGTGAGTAGTAGGTGTGCCACCATCACATGAAACTAAATAAGAGCAAACAATAGGACTATCATACACACTGGATACCGGTGACCGGGTTGACGGAGTACATGTGCAGATTGTGGACAAAAAAGTCAATTAGATTGCTCAAAGTATCATAGATCAATTTAGCTTTTGGGGCAGGCTAAGAGCGAGGAATATCAGGATTAAAATAATAACTGCATTGTAAAAGAAAGCAACGTGCAAGAAGAGTCCGAATAACTAACTACCAGTGTTGTCGCTTCACGCCAAAAGCTTGTTCAATATAAATAAACGCAGAGAGATCGGCTTGATTTTCAGTTGTCTGTTTTTCCTGTGTAATAACGTAGGCACAAATGTGAAAGTGTTGTTGGATTTACCTAAGAGAGCGCGCGTGAAAACAAGAACATCTTTCGGATACCGACACCCATGTAGAACTTCCGAACTATTTGGCACTAAATCTCATGCGAGTAACTCTTCATCTGATCCATGTTTTTTCCTTTCTCCTCGAAATATTCCTATCTAATAACACTGAGCATTCTGCATGCTTGTCATTAGCAGTAGTTCAGGTTTGAAAATAAATTTTGGCAAGTTAGTTTGTGTCGGTTTTATATGGTAAAACATTTGGCATACTCGCATTCAGATGTTTACTAACATCGATTCATTTTTAACAAGTCCATAGATCTCTGCTTTCACAGTAAGCACAGCGCTTGTGGTTCGTTTGTTATGCTGCTCCCTATGATAATTCTCTGAGCATAATTTACTAGTTTGCACCAAAAAGAACAACAGCTTATCGTGCATATTCAGTTCACCCGTTCTTCATAGTTAGCCGTGTAAATATTTAGAGAAAAACCACGAAATGGTGTAAATAAATTAATCCGATTCAACAGGTTGTGACTTACCAGAGAAAGATTTGGAAAGCACTTCATGCAGTTCTTTCAGCCCTTTGTAAAATAAATCAAACAGAAATTGAAAGTCTCATATCTAATTTTGATGAATAATGCTGTAATAATGTTTAGCAGTTCCTGCGGTTTATAAAGATAGTAATATAACCAGGCTCCTGTGTAATTCAGATGGAATTAAAAAACTGTGAGGTCAACATTTACTCACCTAATTCACAATAAATGTTTCTCTGGATGATATATCACTATAATAGTTTAAATATGATAGCACATCAAAACCTTCTGACTACTTCCATCGTTGTAGTTTGCTCTTTACTCCTTTTACCACATTACCCATAAATACCAAATCAGTAACCTTTTATACGTAAGCAAAGTAAGTTGAGCTTGTCAGCATCTGTCGCAAGACACTTTCGCGTAGTTTGCAACTGGCAAATAAATTTGAAAAAAAGTAATATGCAGACTTAAAACAAAATAAAGCACAGTAACCGTTCATCTGTGTTCACCTACTCCTATACTTTCTAATATTTGTGCTTCACATACCTCTCAAGCAAACGTATGTTAACGTGAATTGTGCAACCAATCCGAACACAGTTTGGACAGTGCCACAACTATTTGTTTTTTTGTAAAACAAAAGACCGTTCTTCTTTCCGGTGACTTCATCTATATGCAATAGATATCCAGACAGGAGTGATCATTGCTTACCTGTATCTATCAGTAGCTCATCGGCATTTGCGAAACCGGCTATGGTCATCACACGCACGGCGTCTGAAGTGGAAAGTAAAAAGATCAAAGGAGGTGAAAGTTTGAGAAAGCATGCCGATAATTATCCACTCTGGGATGGTAAAACCCAATACCTCCGAAAAATAATTTAAACAGATCTGTCTACATCCGGATGAGTAGAAAACCAACGTCAATATCGCTTACTAGGACCATAGCATAAGGCAGTGGTAAGTTTATGTTCAACCTCGTAAATGCCACACGTGATGATAAAGACCACTTTGCGGTGCAAACACCGTGAAACAGTAGTCATTCGCTCCTGGCCCTGTACAACTACGCTGAATGTATGGTTTCTCTCGAATTGTACTAAGGGACTAATAATGCGCCTATATATTAGTACTCTGTAAATATGGTCACACATTGTGTTGTGATCAGTAAGTAGTAAAACAGGAGTTAGGGAAACGGTAGAGACACCGGTGATATTCTTTCCCATATTAGATACAGAGTAGTGGAATGTATTATCCCACTCAATACGGAAAGTTATACAGTATCTCCGGACAAGTGAACCTGTCAGGCCTGATGGACAGCGCTTTCTTACCCGTTGGTGCGTAGTTGATTTCAACAATCGCAGTGTTTGCTTTTCGTATCCAATGGTGTGTGAGGAGACGTATGAAAAAATGTACTTATGCTTGCTTAACAAAGCACTTTCGCACAAGATGTCTTTGCAATGGGTTCTGGTTCGAAGAGCACGCAAAAAATGGAATGGAATCGTTTCTGACTTGAAGAATAAAAATAAAATGGCTCAATATGCATGTGTGCACAGACTGACTTTGCGGTCCGGTATGAGGTAAAGGTATAACTCACATTCGGTTGTGTAAAGAGCAAGACGCATGGCTGCTTCGTACTTAGGACCATCTAAACGTGAAAAAATGCCAAAATTTGAAGTATATAAAGAAAAATTTTGGGGTACGTACAATGATGAAACAAACTAAATGATGACTAAAATTCTTCCGTTTAAACAGTTACTAAGACTCAGGTTAGATGACTACTTTAGATTGTCAAATATACAGCTTTTCCATAGTAACGCCGGCTGGGACGGATGTCCTCAACGGAGCTATTATATGCCCATGTAATAGAGAAATGTGTTAGCATCCGAATGTTCTGCAACTACTATCATTCTTCCAATACATTTATTCCCCAAAATATCCCCGTGCATCAGGGATGTTTTACACAGTCATATGTTTATTATATATATAAATATATACATATATATATATATATATCAAGANGAATAGAGGCGTACAATGAGTTGTAAAATGTTTATTGTACCGTTTCGATCCAAACTAGGATTCCTTGTCAAACTTAAAGTAAATGAATGAGATACTGGGATTAGCGTCTTTCCGTGCGCCTGCGTACTGCTTGTGCTTCTATCAATGCACCAATCGAGGGTGACGTAATGTTCATCTCAACTTGTCGGTTGAACTAACTGCCGAGTGCATACCTTTGAGGATTATTTGTTTCCCCGTCTTGGCTCGCGCAACTACCGTTATTGATCGCGATCTCGTAATATGTCGGTGCGCAGTGGTTCCAGATTTGCGATTCGGGTCAGCGCGTTGGAGAGCAAGCTTGTGTTTGTTTGCCGGTTTCACCTATGTATTGTTGGTTGCAGTCCAGGTAAAGGATTGCGTCGATTACTCCTGATCGTTCGTGCTGTTTGAATTGACCCTTGCAGGCGAAAAGAAATGATCGCACGGTTGCTGCTGGTGTATGGGTGATCTTGATTCCCAACTGTCGGAGTATTCGTTCGATGGCTTCTAACGTGCTGCGTATGTCAGATAGCGTTATCTAAATTCCTTCTTTCGTATGTGTTGTTTGCTTATTACCTCTGAGGCACTCTTTGATAAAACTCCTGCGATATGCGTTTGATAGTAACAGTTGACAGAGTCGACTTCTTTCCTTTTTCCTTAGCTCCGGTGCTCTACAACGTTAACTGCTCGGCGAAATAGAGTTCGCACAAAACTTTTTAGGTGGCATAAAGGGTGGTAGCTATTGTAATTGAGGAAGCGGTCCGTCGTGATCGGTTTTGGGTAGACCGTGGTTTCTATTCTTCTATAAGGTGACCTCATCAGAAGGATGTCGAGGAGAGAGAGTTGTCCATCTTTTTCTCTCGTGTATATATAGGTATATATTTACGTATATTGTACCTCGGTGTTTGTTTCATGTTGAGGCTAGAAGAATTCATGTTTTTTTTTAAATTGATGCATAAAACTGTGTCCAAATAAGATCTGACGGCTGCTTTCAACTGCTTTTCTTTATGACACTTTTGTTTTCAGAAACAGCACTGAATTTAGACCCCAGCAATTCACAACCAATTATAATTTCATCACAGAAAAATGTTACACAAGAAAAATCCACATTGAGCATTAGTTTTTCGTGCTCTTAGTCATCTGCACCTACATATTTGCATAACGACATCGAAAACAAACTAATAGGAAGGCGTCTTACTATTCGACTTCTGATCAAGTGATCTATGTTACGTCATTTGGTACAGCATTAAGACAATGTGTAACTTTCGGTAATAAACTAAGACCTGGGACTTCTGTTCGTTGAGGTAGATTTGAAGAAAGGGCACATCAAGTTGTGATGCAGCCAAATGCGCTTTGGCATGAACTGTGCAATCTAGCCTTGTTTTATTCTCTCTCTCCCAACCAATGGCTAGCGTTGGCGATATTTCCGATGCTGATGATGATGGATATTATTTCGAGTTATTTGAAAATATATTTGAATTTTGTCCCAAAGCAAGAACTTATTTAATTATATACCGCAATTACACCATTCTACGTCGTTTCATGTTACTCTATTTTATCATTCACGGTTAGTGTCTGTATGTGCTTTCTTTGTGTATATACTTGAAAACAACCAGAATTTTTTTAATTTAATTGTTTACGATTAACTAATATGACTGTGTTTGAAGCGTGATGAGAATCCCATCCAAAAAATGAAGAGCATGTATTCAATGAACACCCGCATATGATAGGCCGCAAATGAACCCATGATTTGGCATACAGAGGTGAGGTACGATATTGTTCAGCTGATTGAAGGCCTAATGCAAAATTATTAACAATGTTCTGCGTACCAGTGCGGAGTAAATGTTCAATGTTCAATGTTCTTCAATTAGAGGCAGAGGGTAATTTCCCGTATGCGCCTCCTCACCACAGACTCGAAGATCTCATTCATGATAGATCTGCATACCACTTTGTTTGCAGGACGCTGTCGAGCTTCCTCTTGAACATCTTATCATTGACCTCTTCTACTACGTCAGCTGGAAGGGAGTTCCAAAGGTTGGTTACCCTTCGCAATAGCCG